GTTTGGTGCTTAATGGTATGATTTTGGGATGTGTAGCTTATTCATGAAGTCACAAATTGGAACACCATGAACCAAGACCCAAATGAAAATTCTAATAATGCCAAAGTGTTTATAATATCATTTCCAATCAAAATGAGTACAAATTTGGCTTGAAATCATTCAATTACCAATTGTTTTGAATTTTCACCTTTTAATTCATTAAAATGGCCTTTATGTGAATTTTCTTCAACCAATGATTGATATAATCCATATCAATGGACTCTTGATACTTGGATAATCTAAAAACATCATTTTGAGCAACTTTCATGTTGAACAAAACTCCATTTGAAGCTTACAAGATAGTGAAATTGACTTATGATTCAAAATGACCTGTAATGTCCAAATACCCGAAATACCCTTGACTTGTCAAAGCCATAACTTGAGTTCTACACATCCAATCATGGACTTCTAGTAATCTTTAGAAATCTAAGAGAATAAGGAACAACATTCATGTTGACCAAAAGTTCATAGGAATCATCCTTCTAGGGCAAAAGTGTCATGCAAGTTGGGTAACTTTCAAGCTCCAAATTCACATGCCTCAGATGACGTGTAACTTGTCTGGCTCATAACGTGAGTTCTATGAATCCTATCAAGGACTTCTAGTACTCAAATTAAAGCTAAGACTATTACCTACAACAATAATGTTGGGGTCAAGATGATATTAAGATCATATCTTGAGTTAAATGGCCTGGCAGTCAGGGGTCAAGCTAGGGGATTTTACACTGTCAAGTCTTAGAAACCCTAGCCTGAAACTTCTCAAACTCTTCAATCATGATGAGTTAACCTTGGAATCATCCTTATAACATCTCAATGTATTCATACATGGTCACATGGCTCTTGGATTAGGTCTCAACCTTCTTCAAATCATCAGTTGACTTAGGGTTGACCCAGTCAAACCCTAGCTGCACCATTCATGGCTGAGCCTTCTTAATCTTGCACAATGACCTGTCTAGGCCTCAAAGTGATCTTCAACACTTCTCATAAGCTCTCTCAAGACCTCCAGTCCATCCTCATGGCCTCAGAATCATCTGATGGCTTTCCATAACTCTCAAGTTAGGAGACCTACACACTTGGTTCAACCACTCTTTCTGAGGCTCTTCCAACTTCTCTGACAAGGATATCAACCCTTGAACATCTAAATAACCTTCTTAGCTAGCCTCACTATCTTGTATAGATCTTGATTGGTAATCATACCTCTTGATCTCCTGCATACATGTCAATGAAATGCAAATGATAATGCTAATGTGAATGAAATGAAACATAAGCTAGGTAAAGAAATGTTAGGCAAATTTTGGGGTGCAACACATATAACACCAACCTCAGTTTAAACAACAACAACATGATTAAACCTCTAACTAGTCTATAAAATAACAACAAGATTAAAACCTCTAAGGTTTCGGGACTCAACAATAATAAAATAACAACAACAACAACAACAATAAAAATAACACTAATAACAACATTAATGTAACATGAATAATGATATTAGACATACCATATATGTGAAGAAGAAGAAGAGTCCTAAAAATATATCATCTTCGTATTTCCTTACTTTTTTAGAAGATGGAGGATGATATGTCTTTAGAGCTCTCGTGATTTAAAGTGCTTCGTTAAGGCTCTATGGGAGTTGTTTTATCATATGTTTTTTTAGGTAAGTGAAACTCAAAATTACAACATAAGGTGCATGTTACTAAAATAGACCTTCATAAAAACAAGTGGGTCTATATATATATATATATATATATATATATATATATATATATATATATATATATATATATATATATATATATATATATATATATATATATATATATATATATATATATATATATATATATATATATATATATATATATATATATATATATATATATATATATATATATATATATATATATATATATATATATATATATATATATATATATATATATATATATAGAGAGAGAGAGAGAGAGAGAGAGAGAGAGAGAATAGACCTTTAAAAAAACAAGTGGGTCTATGTGTGTATATATATATATATATATATATATATATATATATATATATATATATATATATATATATATATATATATATATATATATATATATATATATATATATATATATATATATATATATATATATATATATATATATATATATATATATATATATATATATATATATATATATATATATATATATATATATATATATATATATATATATATATATATATATATAATAGACCTTCACAAAAACAAGTTTGACTTTAATATATGTGTGTGTGTGTGTGTGTGTGTGTGTCTATATATATATATATATATATATATATATATATATATATATATATATATATATATATATATATATATATATATATATATATATATATATATATATATATATATATATATATATATATATATATATATATATATATATATATATATATATATATATATATATATATATATATATATATATATATATATATATATATATATATATATATATATATATATATATATTTATATATATATATATATATATATATATATATATATATATATATATAGAGAGAGAGAGAGAGAGAGAGAGAGAGAGAGAGAGAGACACACACACATATGAGTAGGGATCAACTTATTCAAAGAGTAAGTTTTTTTAACTTACTTCAAATCATAGCCTTTGAATTGAATCTAATCTAATGGTTTAATTAATCTTTTACTTAATTAACCATTGGATTAGATTCAATTGAAAGACTATGACTTGGACTATATATATATATATATATATATATATATATATATATATATATATATATATATATATATATATATATATATATATATATATATATATATATATATATATATATATATATATATATATATATATATATATATATATATATATATATATATATATATATATATATATATATATATATATATATATATATATATATATATATATATAATATAAACAATTTTATCTCGATTGGTAAACAAAATTGAGGTGACAAAGTGGCTTATTCATTTTATCCCTCAGTTTTTTAAAAGAACCGGGGTGATATATATGAGTTAAAATTAGGGTAATACTTAAATTACGAGTGATTTTATAGTAAAATATGATTATCTAACCCCTCGGTTATTAAAGAAATTGAAGAAAAAAAATCATTTAATTTATCATAATAAATTAAGAAAAAATCACCATTTTTGAAAAAATAAAAACATAAACTACATTTGTTGAAATTCAAAGTTTGTTCTGAATTAGTTTCCCCTTGGTTATTTTAAAAACCAAGGGATTAACCGGTAAAAAAATAAAACATGGCGGGTCCTGGAATTTTATCTTGGTTTTTTGTTCGGTGAGGTGAAAGCTTTGTTATGAAATATATTATTTGTAGTAGTGTAAATTTTATGCGGAGTTTTCTGCTGATTATTAAATGTACACATTTTATGCATTTTGATGACAATTCATTATCATGTAATTTTATTAGTATTTTGTGATGTTTATATTAGTCATTAGTGAAAAGATACTTTATTTTGGATGAAAAAATAGCAATATATGAAGAAAAAGATTAGAGTTGTCAAATGTAGAAGAAAAGACAAATTTTTGAATGTTAAATACTCTATGAAGTTAATGGAAAAATTGCGTCACGACACTTACAGATCATGGTGCAATCTTGGCGAAAAGTAACAAATCATGAATTCATATCATCGTGCGATTTTGAAAAAAAAGGCTAAATCGTGGCACGATTTCTGACATGCGCATATCTCTTTAAATAATAATTTTTCATATTTTTTCAAGTTGGAGTTTTTAGAGATTAAAATTGACGTAAAGAGAAATGTAAGGAGCCAAAATGAAATATTTTTATCCATTGAAGACGAAATTCCTTTTATTTCATGAAATATTATTCTAAACTCATAAATGATTAATTATTGGATTAATATATACTTGTCTACAATCATATGGACGAGTGTTGAAAAATCTCCCTATAATTTTTTTTATCATTAACGATTCAAAATTTTCTTGTTTTAATCCCTCTTGAATAACTCTTACCATAATCTAAGAGGATTTAAATCTTAGAGGTTGGACATACAAGGGGAAAATCCAACTAGTGTACTACTTCTTTTTGCTATTAATTGTTTGCATCAAATATATATGTTTCAACTTTTCTACTTTAATTATATATTTTACTTAATTATATATTTCAATTACAAATTATATATATCTCTTTCATACTTACATTTTTATCTTATTAATTCATATTTTACATAAATATAATAATTTATTATATAAATATTTATTTCATATTTTATATTTAATATTATTAATTTATTTTATAAATATATATTTTGTATTATTTAATAATTATTTATTACATAATTATTGAAAATTATTTATTTAAAAATATCTAATACATAATATTTATAAATAATTTATCACATAGTACATAAAATAAATACTTATAAAATTGAAATGAGTGTAAAATTGAAATATGTAATACATTAATAATATATTATTTAGTAATTAATCTTTAAATAATACTTATTTATATATAATATATAAATAAGTATTATTCAAATTATATATTATATAAAAAAGTATTAATGTTTATAAATAAATATTTATTACATAATACATAAATAAATATTACTTAAATTATACTTATTTATATTTAGCATGTTTCAGGGATGATTCTTTTAATGATAACATGATTAGAGATCTTGAAACATCTTTTTCGGTTCTACCAGACATGTGTAATGCATACATGGGAGGAAATAACATATTCTCAAATAAAACTTACTTTTATTAGGACTTATTTTGTTTAGAATAACTAAATATTTGTTTACTTAATTTAGAATTCCCGTAACTATAAAACACCCCCAACACCCATGAAACCAATGAACACGATCTCTCCCTCAAACCAAGAAACACAAACAAAACAAAAAAGAGAAAAGAATAAAAAACATGATGAATTCCTCAACAATATGTTCTGTGTTCCTTGGTTTGATCCTGATTTCTCAATGCCCTTTCGCTGCATATGCCAGATCTTCAGGATTACAGGGAAGCCTAATTAGCACCGTTTGCTCCACTTCATCCAATATGGAAGAATGCAACAACATCCTCAGATCAAATCCTCATGCCACACAAGTGAAAAGCTATCGTGACCTCGCAAAGATTATTCTCCAAATGGCATACGACAAAGCCTCTGCAGGACAGACTTTTCTCAAGGGATTAGCAGCAAAGAACAATTGTCCAGCACTCACACAATGTGCAAATTTTGATTATGATGGTGTTGTTATGTCTTTTAAAAGTGCTCTTGGTGAGTTGAAGGAAGATGCTCAAACTGCTAATTATGATGCTAAGGTTGCTAGCGATGGAACTGCTCAATGTGAGAGAGGAATGGTTGCAGGACATGTTGTTAATCCTCAAGTTACTAAACTTAATCGTCAGATTACTTTTTATAGTGAATTGGCATTCCTTGTCACTAATTATCTTTAATTGTGTTGTTTAGTTGGGATTATGAGATGATTGGGATGGTTGATTTGGGTTGGATGATGATTAGGGTTTCCTTAATTAGGTTTTGATGTAGGAAGGGAGATTTGTTATTAATAAAATCTCGTGGATTTTAGGGGTGTGCAAGAAAACCGGTTAATGTGATATTACGACCAAATAATGTATCTCATTATGCTGATTTTGGATCATTTAGTTCAGAAAATCTCAATCTCTACATAAATCACCTTTACTATTTTCTAACCAATTCATTAGTGTAGCATGGATAGGCTCAACTCAGTTAGTTGTTGTATTTCCAAGGTGTATAACTTGATAGGTCCAAGCACAAACAATCTTCTTTTTCACCTGGTCCAGAATTATACTTTTAACATATTTCCATAAATCTAGATATTTGTTATACAACTTTCTGGAATGTATAATAACATCGACATATAATTCTTTCGTAGATGGATTTATTATAACATTTCAAGCACCCATTATTCTTTCCACTATCACTCTAGCTTTGACAATTATTCTATCTTCACCCTTAATTTGTTTGGTTCCTACCGCGAGTTTAACTTGACTTCACACACTCTTTATGATAAGATACCTACAAAGTAATGTGAGTGAAGTAGGAAGCACCTTTGCAATTCATCAATGCGGTATCACAATTGGTGACAATGACTTATGGTGTGTCTTCTTTGTTCTTCAACATTGTCTGACACACCTATAAAGCCCAAGTAACATTTTCCTTTTTTCTCTCACAAGAAATGAAAACTTGGCAGAATATGTCTTCTCGGTAGAGGTAACGCCGACAATTTCCAATAGCAGAAGGATGTACTTGTTGGTCTCATATGTTGAATCAATGATGAGTACAGTATGAAACATGTTGAACAACAATGAATGCAATATATAACTCACATACAAACAAAGTATGAATAAGATGAATCTACATGGCACCCCCAAAACTCAAACTTGGCAGTCGACACCCATATACATTAAGTAATTTGACCAAATTTCCCTTTTAATAAAAAAATTAAATTGTTGTAGATTTTTTTGAATTCTTTTATTTTATTTGTATGTGAAATTTTCTTTGAATTGTAATAATTCTTTGTAAGAAATACATTACCCGCAAACTTTTCTTCTAATTTTGAAATGGATACATTTTATGAAATTTTACCAATTTTTAAAAAGTTTGATACCTAATTTTTAGTTTTTTACCATACTTTTCAAAATATTCGATAATATATGTAAGGGTTTCACCAGTTCTTTTTTTAAAATATAGGTTTAGGCATTTTTTATTTTTTTATTTTAATTGTTTGATTTATTTAATTGTAGAATTTGTTGTGGATCATAAAAACACTACAAAAAAACTACATCTTATCTCGGGCATGAAGTATATTTTACCTCACTTACACAGACGAGATAACAAAGGGCGACATGAAAAATTGTCACTTTATCCATCGGTTTATGAATAACCGAGGGGATAGTTGAAACGATCATGTGTTTAATCCCCAATGAGATATTTTTTGAAAATTTTAAATGGTGAAAAAACCTATTCCTCTGGTTTTTAAATGGCAAAAAAATTGATCCCTTCAGTTTTTAGAATTTTTAAATAGAAAAACAAGTTTGGGTTTATTATTATCTAATGTGGATTGTTTGTAACATTTAACCCTAGCAGAACATATAACTTTTTCAATTGGTTTACAAAATAATTATATGAACAATTATACTTGAAGAAAAAATTTACACTAATTAATAATTTTTGAGTATTTCGCAACTCATCATTCATCTTATTATGAATTGATGTCGTCAATAACAGAACAAAGTTATGAGAAAAAGATTGAGTTTCTTGAACAAAGACAAGAAAACCTTTTAGGTTTCATAAAGGAAAAGAGAAGAAGGAAGAAGAATTGAGAATTGGTTAAATTTGTTTTACTATTCACTTTCTCAATAAAGATTCAAAGTTTACAAGTGAATACTAATAATTAACCTCTCTCACTCTAACTAGGATTTCCACCACTCATTACAAAGATGAGAGACTAGCATGCTATTATAAGAAAACTAACATACTAAACTAATATGCTTTTACACACAAACCCATTACACAAGCTAAGTTAAATAATTGAGCTTACAAGCAAGACTCAGTCCGACATACTAACTTAAATTACAAATTAATATATTTTGACAACATGCTTGAACAGACTTCGACTACAGCATGTACAACTCATGTCGAAATATCAATCTACCCTTGTCGACACAAGAGTTCAATCCAAAATACCATAAATCTCCACCTTGGAACAAACTTTACACAAACAAGGGAACAAACTAGCTTTCATCATCTCCGATCCTTTCAACGCTTCTAACAAACTCTGTTGAACAAGAAGGGTTTGCATCTTTAATGTGAATTTCTCAATCTCATTCTTTGTTGACGATATCTTCTCCTCCACACTCATCGTAGTAGTTTGTTGTAAAATGATGTCGTCACTAACAAAACAAACTTATGAGAAAAATATTGAGTTTCTTGAACAAACACAAGAAACCCTTTTAGGTTTCACAAAGGAAAAGAGAAGAAGGAAGAAGAATAGAGAACAAGTTAAATATGTTTTACTATTCACTTTCTCAATAAGGGTTCAAAGATTACTAGTGAATACCAATAATTAATCTCTCCCACCCTAATTAGGATTTGCACCACTCCTTACAAAGATGAGAGACTAACATGTTATTTATAACAAAACTAACACACTAACCTAATGGAATTTTACACACAAGCTAACTTACGAAACAAACTAACTTAAACTATTGGGCTTACAAGAAAGACCCAATTTGACATACTAACTTAAATTACAAGTTAATACATTTTGACGGCATGCTTGAAAAGATTTTGACTACAGCATGCACAACTCATGTCAAAATATCAATTTATCCTTATCAGTACTTGAGTTCGATCAAAAATACCACACATATCATGTTCTTTAATGGTTAAAATCTCTCAAGTGCTTTTAGTTTTCATTTAACTTACTTCCATATTTGTTCATTGAACAAGTATGGAAGAAATTTTAATGAAAACTAAAAGCATTGGAGAGAGATTTTAACCATTAAAGAACGTGAGATGATGAGTTGTAAAATGCTTTAAAAACATTGATTAATGTTAGATGTTTTTCAAATACAACATGATTTTTCATATTATTATTTTCAAAAACAATTTAATAGATTACATTATCAAAGACGGGTTAGTGAAATAAACAATCAATATTAGACATAATAAACTCAAATGCTTGTCTGTCACTATAATGTCCTCTTGACATATTTAAAGAAACAAGATGAAAGTTGCACAAAAAATCACAAAAAATATAATATTAGTCTCAAACTCAAACTCAATAACAACAATTAAACCCTAAAGAAATAGATTTCAAAAACTTTGCTAGGTATAACAACTAGACAACAACGACAATAACATCAAAAAATCAAAAACAATAATAAATAACAACAACATTAACATCATCCCAATCTAAACAACAACAAAAATTAAATAATGACAAAAATACAACAACATTAAGAATATACCTATAACATCAACCTCAACAAATCTATAATGTATTTATTTCAATAAAAATCAATAAAAATAACAACATATAACACCAACCTCAGTTTAAACAACAACAACACGATTAAACCTCTAATGAGTCTATAAAACAACAACAAGATTAAAACCTCTAAGGTTTTGGGACTCAACAACAACAACAACAACAACAACAACAACAACAACAACAACAACAACAACAACAACAACAACAACAACAGCAACAGCAACAGCAACAGCAACAGCAACAGCAACAACAACAAAAACAACAACAACAACAACAACAACAACAACAACAATAAAAATAACGACAATAACAACATTAATGTAACATGAATAATGATGTTAGACATACAATATATGTGAAGAAGAAGAAGAGCCCTAAAAAATATCATCTTTGTATTTCCTTACTTTTTAGAAGATGGAGGATGATATGTCTTTAGAGCTCTTGTGGTTTAAAGCTCTTCGTTAAGGCTCTATGGGAGTTGTTTTATTATATGTTTTTTTAGGTAAGTGAAACTCTACACTACAACCTAAGGTGCATGTTGCTAAAATAGACCTTCATAAAAACAAGTGGATCTATGTTAGCAAACTCATATATATATATATATATATATATATATATATATATATATATATATATATATATATATATATATATATATATATATATATATATATATATATATATATATATATATATATATATATATATATATATATATATATATATATATATATATATATATATATATATATATATATATATATATATATATATATTTAACTTACTCAAAGAGTAAATTTTTTTAATTAGTCCAAGTCATAGTCTTTCAATTGAATCTAATTCAATGATTAATTAAGTAAAAGGCCAATCTAACAATTAGATTATATTCAACTCAAAGACTTGGTTTGAAGTAAGTTAAAAAAACTTAATATATATATATATATATATATATATATATATATATATATATATATATATATATATATATATATATATATATATATATATATATATATATATATATATATATATATATATATATATATATATATATATATATATATATATATATATAAACAATTTTATCTCGGTTGATAAACAAAATTGAGGTGACAAAGTGGCTTAATCATTTTATCCCTCAGTTTTTAAAAGAACCGAGGTGATATATTACTTAGGAAAAAAACGATGAATGGTAAAAAAAATTTGAAAAAGTAATATGTATTATTTTCTTTTTCAATTATTTACCATTCATCACTTTGTGTGCTGCAATATTAAAACAAATGACTTGTATTTTGAAACAACAACTTTGCTTGCAATTTTTAGTATGTTTATGAATAAATTTCTCAATATTGTCAACCTAAAAAAACAATAAATTATGAAATATTTTCTTTGATTGACAATATAGTAAGGTTATTCCAA